GTAACCTCTAAAGAGGTAAAAAGCTAGGTTTCTAAGGAAACTTTCTTCTCTTCCCCCACCTATACCTCTCCCACAAACGCTGTTGGTGCACCACTAACAATTGATGCAATTTCTTCCTTATAGCAGCAGCAGAGGTCGTCGGTGTGCACTCTGATCTCTGACGTGGTGTCCGGGCTCCGAGTGGAGCTTGGTACCCTGTCTACAGGCAGAGATGGCACCGGTGCAACCTGGGGACTCTCACCGACCTGGTACATCACAGATTCATGGCCCTGGTAGCTCAGGCCTTGGCCTGGTGTCTAACAATGTCCTGGCCAAGAGGCTGTTGAGTGTGATAGAGCTAATGGTCACACCACAGTCTACATGACTACCAGCAAACCATGATTTGTCAGGCTACTCCCATGTGTCTTGCGATCGGGACCGGGGTTCAGACTCGAACTGCCGAGTTGGCTCCACGGATGCTCTGAACCTCGGGAGTAGCACCAACGTGGGCTTCCACTCCAGTACAGCGCAGATGCCTGGTGCCGGTAGCTCAGGTCTCAGCCTTGGCCAAGAGGCTGTCGAGTGTGCCGGGAATACCGAATACTCTGAGGTCTACCGGAGTGCTAGGGGAACGCCGATTTATCAGGCTACTCCCACATGCCTCAGAACCGGGGTTTGGACTTAAACAGTGGACAAGTCGATTTGAGCATTGGCTCTTTTCGACACTTTGAACTTTACAATGATTCAGTTTGTGCCCAAGGCAACTGCGAGGTAGAATAGTTGCTGTGTTGCCTCGGGTCATTGTCGACGGGGAGGACCCGTCGGAGTTCTGCCTCCTGGGGGAAGCCATTGCATCCAGCAAGGCATCTGAGACATGGCCTCACATTCTATATGTCAGTCTGTTGTCCTTCCCACAAATCAGCCCAACTCTGTATGGTCTACTCGGCGTATCTCTCTGCTCTGCAGAGGCAACTGGTGGAAAGGGGAAAGAGCGCTAGTGATTCTTCATCAGTGGCTCTGGCACAGCAGCTGACAGAAGTCCACTCTCACCTGGTTAGGGACAGCATTTGTAGCTGTGCCAGCCAAATGATGAGTGCGGTTATGGGCATACAGGGCCTCTGGAAAACGGAAGATGATCTCATCTGTCAAGGCAGGGGATTGGTGGCCGTCAATCGACCTGAAGGTCACATACCTCCATGTTCCAGTGCACCCCAATTTGAAGAAGTACCTTCAGTTCTCCTTCGACGGGACAAGCTTCCAGTTTCGTGTGCTCCTCTTAGGCATCTCTACAGCACCAAGGGTGTTCTCCAAATTGAGGTGTTGTCACCCGTACCTTGACAACTGGCTCCCCACAGGGCTGCAGAACAAATGTTGAGTCTGGAAGCCACACCATCATTGTTGGACACTCATTCAAAACTGGGCTGGATTGTAAATCTCAAGAAGTCAGACCTCGTCTCAACATCAAATCGTCAAAGTTCAGAGGTAACTCTTCAGTTCCTCGAGTTTCAGCAGGGAGATTGCTCCAGTTGCTAGGAAACATGGCAGCGATGGTGACCCATACAGCAAGCTTTAGCACAGCTGGCGTCCCACTCAGAGAGCAACTAGAAGTTACTTGAGACGCCAGAATGGTTGAACTCAGTGGTGGGCAGACATCGGGCATCTCTCCAAGGGGCTCCCCTTGGAGACACCAATACCGATGCTGACACTCTCAGTCCAAACAGATACATCCCTCAAGGGTTGGGGCGGTGTTTTGGGCAACCTGGAACTGACAGCAGTCAGTTTGGTGTTCGAGTCCATACGCCAGGACTCGAATCACCTTTTAAGGCCAGACTTTCTCACTCTGAACGGGGTGCCACACCCAAATCCTCGAATTCAATGGGTGGTTTGGCCTCTGTCAGGTCTAATTTCCAGACACGCGGAATTCCTGCGACAGTAGCAGACACAATTCTGGCTTTGAGGCTGGATTTAACACCAGTTCAGTATGTGGATAGGTGGAGCCGCTATGCGAGCTGGGATTTCAGAATCCCTATTGTGCAGATTTAGTTCGGATGTTGGAGTAACTTGTGGCCCCCACAATTCACGGGTACTCCATGGCTATTTCCATGTTTCACACCCCAATCGATGGTGCTCTGCCTAGGCAGCACCCTCTCGTACAGCACTTTGTACCTGGTGTGAACAGAATTTGACCGTGTCGTCGGCGAACCAGCCCACCTTGAAAATTGCCAATCGTTCTCAATTGGCTGTCTGGTCCTGCCTTTTCAAGTCTATTGTCTCTCTCACTTCACTTGTTTTACATGGAAGATGGCTCTTCTTGTGTCGGTGACCCCTGGTAGAAGGGTTGGGGACATCCATTCAATATCTACTGACCCGGCACTGACAGTATTTCATTCTGATCATGCCAGTATTAGCCTTCCAGATACCTTCCAGACTCAGATTGATCTTGCTTTCCACATGACAGCTCATATCTAACTTCCAATGCTTACCCAGCCTTCCACATTGGGGACTGCTCCTTCCAGTGCTCATCTGTTGGTTTGCCGCAGGGACTATAGCGAACGAAAGAAAGGGATTTGTATGGGAACCCATCTGTTTTGCTGTTTCAGTGGAGAGAAAACTGGGAAATCTGCTAGCAAGCAGACTGTATCTTGTTGGCTTGTTTCTGTAATTTGTTCGGTTACAAAGCTAAGGTATGCCTTCCCTGAAGAGCTGAAGGCTCATTTGATGAGGGCAGTTGCCGCTTTGAGGTCATTACACACCGGCACTGCTCAATAAAGAGATCTGTTCTGCCGCTCTTTGGAACCGGCCGAACGCATTCATTTGCCATTCTAAGGCTCGTGCTCAGTTAGGTCTTTTGGTTCTCTCCAGTGGACAGTGTCCACCCTGACCAAGTGAGTAACAGGTCATTGGTATCGGTTCTGTGTTCAATGTCTATGATTGATATATCCACTGATGGTTCATGTCACTACATCGTTTAGCCTTACCACTGTTTCGGGTTGGGTCAGGTCAGGTTTGTCTGTACATGCCTCCCTGCCTAAAGGAGGGAGGGGGCAGGGCAGGTTATGAACGCGCATGCCTCCCTTCAAGCCACGTGACCAGGTAAGTGTAATGGCGAGCCAACACTAGTTCGGTCACACTAACAGCATTTCCCTCTTCTCAAGATTTCGTATATGGGAGTCTGTGTTAATCAGCACATTGGTTGTTGGGTGTTTACACTTATCTTCCTCACGCCAAGATTGTTTGGTGGGGGTGATTTATCCTGCTTTTCAGTCATTCAGTGGCGTTTGCACTTATTCGATTTCCTCAGAAAGGTTGTATTGGGGCTTATAATTTCTCTGGTTATTATAGAGGCAAGTGCTAAGCCCTCTCCCAAAAAAGGAGGGGGATTGGGTGTGTGTGTGTGCATTTGAGCCATTAATTTGCTGTAACATATTAGCTCAGCAATTGTTCAACCCCTAATCCTTACTCAACTAATCGGCTTTGGACGTCACGTGACTGGGTAAGTAAGTGAGATCTTAATCTATTTTTAGATTGGTGAAGTCCACTTGAATTGGGATTGATTTGCCAGACAGAATGCCACTCCCGACTCTTTGTTCTTTATGAGTCTGTCTTATGCTTATACATAAGTACCCCAAGGAGGACCTCTTCTGAAAAAGAATTGAACCAACCTGCAGAGGTTGCTGATTCTTTGAAGAGAGTCCTCCTTGGGGTAGGGCCACCCTCCTCCCCACATTCTGTCTGATCACGATTGGCATGGAAAGTGAGTTTCGAGGTTGAAGGTTAGAGTTACCTTCTCTTGGACGTGAGGCCCCATGGTGTGGTCGAACAAGACAAAAATGACTTTTTTGTTTTGTAAATATTTTATTCAAAATATAGTTATGGACATAAAAATGCTTATATCTTCCCCAAGGAGGACTCTCTTCAAAGAAACAGCAACCTCTGCTGGTTGGTTCGAATTTTGTGCCTCACTCAGACCCTCAGACATCAAAATAATGTTTTAGTAGATGGCCCTTGGCTTAAGACATGTTACAATTATTGTCAGCGGTTGAGCACTCAATGGCCTGAGCTTTTTTTCTCCCGTCTTTGCATTTACTTATATAAGGTTATGACGTAGTATGTGTTACTGGAAATGTATTTTCCTTCATATGTATTGATCAGGATTTGATGAATATTTCGTCTATTGATTGGTGTTTTGTTAATATATTGCTCCACTTTTCATGAGGATATTTCTTATCCATGATTTACAACTACTAGAATGTAGAATACGAAAAGGTACGAATACGAATAACGCAAATACATATCACAAACTAAGAATATAACAATTCTAAGGGTATCATATGTCTTTCAAAATAAATGAAAAACATAAGCCAAACATAACTTTTGTTCTGTTTTAAATAGGATATGTTAGATTTTTGCAGTTGTACACTATTTCTTAACTTTCCATCAGTCAAAACCTGCTTGGCAAATTTAATTTTTGTTTATATGTGATGCATTTTGTATTGTGATTTTGGTCAAATTCTTTGATGAAAAAAAGGATATTTTATTGCCCAATGTGTTTACAGTCACCCTCAGACACTGCATTTATGGGCCTATTCTAAATTATGTTCAGGACAGTGTTTTGTTAGAGAGTAAGGCCTAAATATGTAACCACTCACCAATGATGCGAACTATATTGATTTCGTTCAGATCTTTTGGGCATTTTTGCTCAATATCTATCAATAATCAATCAGTCAACAGTTATCAATATCTCAGATATAAATCGATAGCCAGCTCATTAATGTCTATTGGCCTTAGAGTGAGTGAGTGAGTTTGGTTTTACCCTGCTTTTAGCAATATTCCAGCAATATTATGGCGGGGGACACCAGAAATGGTCTTCACATATTGTGCCCATGTGGGGAATTGAACCTGTGACGAACAAATGCCTTAACCACTAGGGTACCCCAACGCCCCTATTGACCTCAGAAAAAAATGCCATGCAGTGCACCTGACTATGACCTGATCTACCATCTATTTTTTTTTATTCACAGGTGATATACTACTCAACGAGTATATACAGATCAGCTGGTCTGTCTGCGCAAAACTCCCAGTTTGCTACCCTGGGATCGTCCATGGTGAATGTATTGATGACGCTTGTGTCAGCCCTGCTCATCGACAGGGCAGGGAGGCGCATCCTGCTTCTGCTGGGGTTGGGAGGGATGTTCATCTTCACCGTCGTCATCACTGTGGCTCTTGAGTTTAAGGTGAGAGACATGAGTGAGTGAGTTTAGTTTAACATCGCTTTAAGCAACGTTCCAGCAATATCACCATGGAGGACGCCAGAAATGAGCTTCACACATTGTACCCATGTAGAGAATCAAACCGGGCCTTCGGCGTGACGAGTGGACGCTTTAACCACAAGGCCACCCCACCAACCCATGAAAGACATGACATTTGGGTAGCTTTACAGTGGCAATGGTTTGCTTAGTTCTATCTCTATCTCTTTGATACTATATTTCATGTGAAGTATCATTCTGCTTGTCTTAAAAATGACCCATGGCCAATGATCGATGAATGTTTGGAGCTGGGGAGTAATTTAGAGTGGAATTTCAGTAATATCACACATCCTTTTGTGGTTTTGTAATCTATCTATCCAACATGCAAAGCCACAGACCATGTGTTAGCACTATTTCAACTTGTGAGCTTCATTTAAGGGAAAATATCTACATCCTGCAATAAAGCAATCTTTCCTCAATGAACATGCTAACATGCAATGACATATTTGAAATCCTTGTGAAATCAGCACTGAAATGTACTCTGTCATTGCTCTTCTTTTTATGTTCTGTAGAGTCCTTCACGAAGGCCATCATTTTGTTTCAGGACCAAGCGTCATGGCTGTCCTACTTGTCTATAGTGGCCATCATCTGTTACATCACCTTCTTTGCAATCGGACCAGGTAACATGTCCCGGGAATCAAACACCGTCATCAGGTGTTATAGTCCGGCAGAGCGTTGACATGGCCGTGGACTTTTTTTATAGCTTTTTTTAAAAATCGATAAATGGCTAAATTTTTGTCCTACTTATCCAACAATTTATTTTGCTACCACAAGATCTTTTGCTTGTGCTTGCGATTCCAAGGTTGAATCTTGAAACATGTTGTATTCCAAACCCACAAGGGTGCCAATTTGGCAAGAAATAGTTTCATGATCTACCTGTTATCAAATTTATGAATTCAGCAATAAGATTCTTTGGGAACTAAAATGCAAGGTTAGAACTTAAATAGCTTTTAGCTGCTGGAGTATTACATTAACCTGTATTACACGCTAGCTTCACGAGCCCATGTGTGTTCACCTCCCAAAACATCCTTGCTTGATTTTAAGAGCAGAACGGATTTTTGTAAGTGGTTTTCAGAACGTGTGTTTGGAGAGATAAATCACAGATACATGAAACATTTATCATATGACTCTATATTATACTTTTACTGAATTAACCAAAATGTCTCTCACACAAAAAAGATCCTTCATGTAATTATAGACAAAATGTCTTATATGAAGGGTAATTGTTGTCAGGGCCCGTTCCCTGGCTGATCGTGGCAGAGTTGTTCGCCCAGGGTCCAAGGTCAGCAGCTGTCAGTACTGCAACGCTCGTCAACTGGTCGGCCAACTGTGTTGTGGGTCTGGTATTCCCCACACTGCAGGTAGGTCAGGGTTTCGGGTATGATATTCAACTTAAAATAATCTTATGTCATTCAGTTTTCGGTTGTCTCGATAAAATGTTATTTCTATGAAATCATAATTGCAATTAAAATATTGCCATAGCCATACTTGAAAGATGGATGGATGGATGGATGGGTTTGAGTTTGAGTTTGCGTTTTAGCCTGTCATGACCTTTTCTGAACTGATTTTCACATGCATAATTCTTCTGGCCAATACGAACATGAGGGATTCCATTGACATTGCCGATATGTGTCGAGTGATTCCATTGACATTGCCAATATGTGCGGCATTTAGAGGCTGAGTGATATAACTACAGATGATGAATTGAAATGTGAATTAGAGACAAACGTAAATGCTAAAAAAATTAAGACTTTCAAATTTAAAGAGGAATGGAAAAAAAACAGGAATGAGGTTTCAACATCTAAATAATTCAACAGCAGATTTCTTTCATTACAAAATAGCAATAAAAGCAGTGCAATTGGAATGTGGCTGATGCAACTTGGTTTTTATCTCAGGGTGCACGTGGGTCAAGAAGGTTAACATGAGACTCTTAAATCGAGCCCTGTGATGGATGGATGGATGATGTAGGGATGAATCTCCTTTGTTAATAACTGAGAATTTTATTACTGGAGTATCATGACCTTTTCCAATCTGATGTTCACATCTATAATTCTTCTGGCTTTGCAAATTATCAAGCTGTGCGTGCATAGTGTGTTTTTCACTCTATATTCATCTTCTTCACCATTGTACTTGCAGAAATCCATTGGTATGTATTCATTTGTACCGTTCGCCATCATGCTGTTGCTATTCTTCCTGTTCGCGATGTTCAAATTACCGGAGACGAAAGGAAAGACGATTGACGAGATCACACACCTGTTCAAAGCCAACACAGAATAGATGCACGTCAGTGTATGTGGATGTAATGCCACCTGATATGGACGAGGATCAATACATTTAAACCTCAGGTGTCATATTTTGTCGTTTTGGAGGTTATATTTTTCTTAGGTAAACCTCCTTTCAGGGTCATATACAATGTCCCTGGGACATTCTATACAATACTCCATACTTGGCCCTGAAAGTAGATTTTCACGAAATGAATGTTTTCTTTCTGGATAAAAAGGTCAAGTAGAGACAGTGGTTTTATTTCTTTCAATGACATTTTAAGAAATATTGAATTGAAGATGACTGTCGGCTTCATCGTAGATTTCGTGGATCCCATGTCGTTTCCTGAATCGGCAGTTGTCTTTTCTGTATCCGTAGCTGCCATAGTTTTAATTTCACTCATCAAACGTTTTGGCGCTGAGGTAAGGATATCAGGCCCTTGGGTTCTCCCTCGCCCTCATGTTTACATTTTCAACCAAAACCTCGGGATCATGTTATATCCTTTACAGAAAGAATGCTAATGTGTCGGCGTAGTTTTAGTTTGAATGATGTGGATTTTGGAAGGTATGTTTTATGCGTGTGAATGTATTTGCACTGCAGCAATACAAGATTTATATGATATACATCTCTTCTTTTGAAGATGGGGCGGTGGGGTAGCCTCGTGGTTAAAGCATTGGCTCGTCACACCGCAGACCCGGGTTCGAATGCCCCATGGGTACAATGTGTGAAGCCCATTTCTTGTGTTCTCCACCGTGATGTTGCTGGAATATTGCTAAAAGTGGCGTAAAACCAAAGTCAGTCAGTCTTTTGAAGAGTGTCTGCTGGCTTGTGACAAAAATACCAAACATCTAGACGTACAGACAGACATGATGAGCATGTGACTGCCTGATCCTTAGTTTTGTTGGTTGTTAAGACAACAGGTGCATGGGACATAATCTGACCAAGAATCCTTCTTTCTGAGACTGAATGGAATTACAACAAGAACAAGATTTTGTGAAAGTATTAAAACTTGAGCCTTGATTAATGATATGTCAGCTGTGTACTCCTAAAACATAGAAAATGTTCATTGCATGTTAATATTGAGCAAGTTGGGAGTTCCAGACTGAGCTGAAGTTATTTTAATATGGAAAGGGTTTTTGTAGATTGGAAGTAATGTGATATTTTAGTCTTGTTTAAATTACACTTTTTACCAGTTTTACCATAAAAGGATAGTGCTGCTAAAAACGAATCCTGAATGCCAGGTAACTTTTCGCTCTGTATTGTATTAACACTCCTGTATTCTCAAAACAACTTAACACATATCACAAATGCATATATTGGAATATACTTTATAAAGGCAGAATAACGATCGCAGATGAAAACCAATACAATGTTATAAAGTCATAAAAAGGCTTGATTTTACTTAAATTGAGTGAGTTTAGCTTTGTGTCGCACTCAGCAATATTCCAGCTATATGGCAGCGGTCTGACCAGACAATCCAGTGATCGACAGCACGAGCATTGATCTGCGCAATTGGGAAACGATAACATGTGTCAACCAAGCCAGCGATCCTTACCACCTGATCCCGTTACTCGCCTCTTATGACAAGCATGGGTTACTGACAACCTTCACGGGTTACTTAAACTGAGAAAGCAAGGAAAACGTTAAAACATGTAAAGGAGTTTTATATGTTTCTTTTATATGTTTATATCTATCCACCACACTTATAAATCCAGAATACCTGAATTCTGTGTACCAAAAGGGGGTGGGCAGCCATTATAATGAAGTCCTTTGGTATTCCTCATGGTGGGAATCAAACTCAAAACATGTACCTGTGAAGCAGAACCACTTACCACTGGTGGGTGCGGTGATTCCCCCAACCATTGGACTTCATGATTTATGTGCACCTTCCCCCTTCTCCAAAATCCTAGATCCGCCCCTTTTGCTGATTTGTATCCCAACTGCATAGATTGATGCTCATGATATTGATCACTGGATTGTCTGGTCCAGACACATTTATTTACAGATTGCACCATATTGTAGGAATATTGCTGAGTTTGGCATTAAAGAAAAAACAAACAGTGACCACACAATTCTGTGTAAATTGCTGATGATTGATACTGGTGGGAATGAGAGTGAACAATGTGATTCAGTTCAGTCTTATTGTACCTTGTACCCAACATCATTTGGGATTTTCTTCAAGATGTGGGGCAGTGGGTAGCCTAATAGTTAAAGCATTTGCTCGTCATGCCGAAGGCCCGGGTTTGATTCCCCACATGGGTACATTGTGCAAAGCCCATTTCTGATGTCGCCCGCTGTGATATTGCTGGAATATTGGTAAAAGCGGTGTAAACCCAACACTCACTCACTCATTCTTCAAGATGCCATGACACAACTGAACTGAAATATGTTTCAAAACGGTGTCAAACTCACTCAAGTTCCATGTTTCTGATCATGTATACATCATGGGCCAACTATAGGGAAATGACTTACTCCTTGTGATAATTGTTACTGTTTTAGAAAAATTGGACTGACCTTTGAATGACCTTGTGCAATCAGATCTGTTGATTATGTATACATTGTATATTCTCTTTGTGTAGTCCCAATATGTCCAGCCTTCAGTGGCTCATGATCTATACCCCCTTTTTTATATGTACTGTTATCTCTAGTGATTTATTTTTATTACTAGTTTTAAATTAAGAGATGTGATAATCTAGTATTTTTACTGTCCAATGATGACAGGTTTTTGCGTACCAAATTTATTAATTTTGATATTGATATAAATTAAATTGTTCTCGTCACTCACTCTCTATTAGTTTTACATATACATCTGTATAACTGTGACATTCTAGTTGTTTTACTGTCCTTTGCAGACAGGTAAATATATTATCTAAATTTGTTTTTATTTATTTATAAATTCACAACATTCTTAGTCACCATATGGCTGAATCTACGTAATCCTTTATGGAGCAGGGTGCTGAATGTGGCAACTAGAAATTACAATTGTGGCCTGAATGGAAAGGTGTTAATTCACCAGGCTACAAATGGCTGATCATGAACATTTGTTCACCTGTGTAATCTGAATCATGTCAAACACAGATTTCTCTGAATGCCATCTTGCCATTGTCAAAGAAAACATGTTGGCAATATACATGTTGAAGTGTAAACAAATCACACAGTTATATTTTAATGAAAGATAATTGTAAACAACTACTTTATGTTGATATTGCAAATAAAAGATTTTTGTATAACACTTGTTTATTATTTATTATTAGCTGACAAGACTGAAAGTCCAGCGAGCTTCTATGATGGGGCATTGTGTGGTTGTCACTCAATAACTTTAACAATGGAACTACAAGACTTATTGAACAGGTACCGTTGTACAAAGCAATCTTAGGGCTAGGGTGATCGCAACTCTCATACCATAATATAGACTTACAACTGGCGTTGAAGTGCTAAGGTTGCTTTGAACAACATCACCCCGAATTTTAGTATGATTGATCAGGGCTGTACGTAGCCCGGGGGGCAGGGGCAGAGAGGCAGCTGCCCCCCTACAGTTTTTTTACAGATTATTTTATGTACATCAAAGCATTGATATAACACTCTTTTGAGTGTCGTATACCCTCAACGCAGCCCTGAAATCTACACCTCAATTTATGACGCAAAGATTGACAGATGATCGGTACCAGAAATGATACACCTAATTACATATGATAACAACTACCATTAATAAATAAAATAAGGAATTCAGGGCAATGACATAGACTAGCCGGAATCCTTTAAACTGAAGGCATATTGTGCAATACCTAATGATAATCAAGGAGCAAAAGACTTAATTAGAAAAAAGATTGCATTCAATCCACATAACTTCAATAGACAGGATAGACAAAGTAAAGGATAACATAGAAAACAATGAATATACAATACACAAACAAACATAGATTGGTGAAAAAATAAATACATAGTATTATATAAACTATCGAATTTGTTTTATTTGTGGAACTATGAACTAGTGTTGGGAATTGTTTAAAATCTAATAATTGATGATTGGTCCATTACAACCGATCAATCATCGAAAATAATTGGTTAGCATCATTTATCAAATGTTCCTGTAATTTTTGTTAATGCACACAAATATAAAGAAAAAAACTGTAGTAATTTGTGTTTTTTTGCAAATTGCATCAATTCCATTTGCAAATTTTGCATATTTAAATGATGATTAGTATGTTAGGATCACATATTTCCTGGATTCTTTAAGATAAATTCAATCATGACTTGGAACGAGCTTGTACATGTAGTGCTTATGAAATGTAAATTTAATGACAGACAAAACCAGCCTTGTGAAAAATAGTGTTAATGCAAACAAGTGTTCCAAGATTGGTCGTGTTTGATTGCTTGGTCGTTTAGTCACTGCGACCAATCTTCGATTATTTCAATTAATCGGACCACCACTACTATGAACCGATGCTATATCATTAATCATTCCTTCATCCCAATGATCATGTGGTAACTTGATCTGTGTGTTCATGACCATACCAGCCGGCAGTGTTGCTTGTGAAAGGTCTTTTGCCTCTCTTCGAAGGCTTAATTTAAAGCTGTGGACACATGCTACAATGAGCACTGAACATCTAACTCTTCTGGCATTATGCTGCACACATACAGAAGCCCACCTTTGATACCAAGTCCATGCACTATCTACTCTAGGAAGACAGACTGGAGGAAATTCAAATACAGCTAAAAGTGTATGATGGAGTAAAAATCATTTTTGATATTTCCTTGGGACTGTAGATGTGTAAAATTCATGGTTGATCATAAATAAAGCAATCTTTCTGACTGACTTATCTTGTTAAGTTGCAATGAGTAAACTGTGTATGAACAAACCTGAAGATTCAAATGAATTTAATAATACAACTATTGCATATTGATACTTAAACTGAATAAAACAGTTGTTTTGCATATACAAATGTATACAGATTTGTCATAACATAAATAAAGTTTAGTTCAGAACATCATGTGCAGATGCTACAATTTTGAACAGACGTAGCAGGAAAAAACTATTTTATACAAAATTGGAGATTATATAAATGGAGTCATTTTACCTTCAGAAATCAGGAAATTGCATCTGAGTGAATCTGATTTTAAAACATTCCCGTACCTGCCTAGATCCTCGAACGTTAATAATTAATTATGGCTCTCCATTGTATATAACCTGACACAAGCCAACTACAGCATGCTCTCAAGTTAAGATTAAGCGACATCAAATAAAACCAAACTTTACTGATGAAAAAAATAAATTCCAATAAAATTATGTGGTCATCATGGTACAAACTTTAAATTACGTTTGAACTAAAAAAAATCGTTGGTTTCAGAGGGATGGCAACGAGAAGTAACACTCAACGTTCAACTTAAATAATCTTCCTCCATGCGAATCTGTTCAAACATAAAATCTGATATGGAAGTGTTGAATTCAAACGATGCAGGGTTCTGTATAGATTAAACTCCTGATAATCGCGATGTTTCGTGACAACCTTGTTTGTTCATGGTCTAAGGGAAGTAATCGCGATGTTCCCAATCTTATTTGGTCTTGGTCAAAGGGAAGTAATTAAACAGGTAAGTGTTTCAACAAGAGTTAGCTCCCTTGATTTAAGTCGCCACAGTGTTGCCTCATACCGAATCCAAACTTTAAAATATTTGAGGAATCTTTAAAACACTTCGTTCACTGGTCCACCACACCATCCTAATCGGGGACGTGTATAACTTCTTCTAATAAAAGGATCGTGGTAGTTTTTAGCAAATGAAGGTTCCATTTGAGGAGTTATCACGATACCGAAAGAAAGTACCATGTTAGAATGCTTATGGTCAAAGGGAGATAATCGCACTATTTTTGTTTTTAAGGGAGTAAACTCCCCACAGTGTCTCGCTCAGAACTTCACACATGGCGTGTGCCAATAAACGAAGGGAGGTAATCACGTATAATAAACAAGAGTTATGTCCCTGTTGTCCCAAAGGGAGATAAATCTTTTTGGCAAATGTGATTAGGATTTACAATTACCTCCCTTAGACCATCAATGGCACGGCGTATGGCTCGCATGGTTGTCATGTTGCTACCGAATACACCTGATGGAAACGAATGAAACTGAAGTCTTCAGTGCGTTACCGATGTAACCATAAAAAACTCCTTTAAATACAACCTATCATCCGCAACACGACGCAACATGCTCTGCTAAAGCGAGCGTCAACACTGTGTTCGAAAACATTTTAGCCAATGATAAGGGACTGTTGATTGAGTTGTCTCCCTTTGACCGAGTGACACCGTTTCGCTTCCGGTATCATACCAGCCAGTTGGGTCCTTGTGAGAAGTTGTCCACACACCTCACCGAGGTGAAAATATGTTAACAAAACATTGTTAACGACAGGCGCGTCATACGTTCTGAAGCTTGTTTAGAATTAACCCCCTTGATGCCGAGTTTTACAATGCATCCAGATATGATAAGAATTGACTAGAATGAATTTTAAGAGGGGGTGGGGTTACGGCGGAAGTCTTTCCGACTTTCGTATGGCAGACAATTGCTGACACGCTCAGCCGTATTCACCCATGATTGTTCTATAAAAACGACAATTTATTGTTTTGGGTGTTCTATTTATTACTGTTATCAGTCTCCCTGCTGTTATGTAGAGATCGACTCTCGACACATTTGACGAGTCCTCTGTCGCTGTGTAAACAATTCGTTGTTGTTAAACAAATAGTAGCCGTGGATGGTGTTCGTGGATTTGCTGATATTGATGTTTCCGCTGTGCTGCAGCTGTGTCCACCACTTCACAGGTCACCGTGACATCACATCCACATCATCCGTCTTCTCCTCACCCAGAAGATACGCCGTCGTCTCCGGCGTCCTGTCAAGTCATCAACATCGTCATTAGCGACACCACCACAAAGATAATGTCCTTATGATTCAACTGACATGTTGATATGGGACAACATGCGGTAGTTTCCGAACACGGACTACCAACACTGAGAGATGTACCACTTCCATCGTGATTTCAAGGTGAAAGAAGAAATTTTCAGTTATTAAAGTTATTATAGTTTACCAAATTTAATTTCGTTTGAAAGGAAATTTTCCTATTTCATTTTCTAGTAATAAAGTCATGCAATGTCGATCTACAGACACAAGATTGAAACGAGTGATGAAGAAAAGATTGAAACGAGTGAAGAAGAAAACCAAACTGTCAGCAATACCGAGAACAAGGACAAGTTCAACTCTACGTTTGTTCAGCCTCTACTTTCTACCCATAATATAGGCGAGGGAATTCTCTTATTAGGTGTTCAAATATGAGCGAAATGGTCGAGATATCAGGTTCTTTTCGCACATTATACAAATGTAATTGTATCATCAAAAACTGTGTTCCACAGGAGATATCGCTTGTGTGCGATGAAACGATATCTCCTAGGACTAGGAGATATCGTTTTGACAGTAGATTTTGTACAATGCCCTGACAATGCTATGACGTCATATACTTGATGACGTCACAATGCTATGACATCGCTGCACTGCAAGTCTAATGGCAGTACCGTGTTCAGAGATGTACATTTTTCATTGAAAATTAAGTGATTGGAAAGTGTTACGACTTATTCCTATGAACATATTTGATACGTTCACAAAGATTAAAACGAAATGCTTAATATAAAAAATATCCACATCCCCTTGTCCTAATAGACCCTTCACCGTACTTTTCCCTTTATCGATCTAATTTTGGTCGCCCATTTCACATCACGAAGTTCCGGTGTTCTCATGATGCCGTTTAATACTCCATCACCTTTAGGGTTCAAGTCCACGTGGCGCCCCTCCCCACGATATTGCAGAGTGCGACGTGAAACACCCGCCCTATATTGTAAACCAAAAGTCACCGTGTTCTTTAATCCGATTGGTTGAAAAACATGATCGAATGGTATTCGATTCCCGGAAATTGCAAGACCATTCGCTACGTGTTAATACGTACAAACATCGCACACACCATTGTATTGTTACGTCGTCAGCAGTGGTGACGTCAATCAAATCATATTGTGGCTGATGCCGTTGGTTCCAAATGAATTCCCGTGCTTCAAATACTCAATAACACCCGGAAATTGGCCAACACATGATGTTTATCTCCTAACTAACACACACCCAACATTCCCAAGCATCACTCCGTTACATCTTAGCTGCACTACCGTCACTGGCAGCATCCACTCAACCCTAAAGCGGACACCTGC